CCTAAAAGACTTATTAGAAAAGATGAACTGTGATTACAAAAAGGAATGACTGTAAGATATTTATTAAAACCAGGTGAGTTGGAAGGAGGATACATTCATAGAAAAACTGATCCATACTTCTCATTACATATTTATTGAATTAAAAAGATTATTGTTGGAAGGAATTCACCACAGCCAGTCTTATACTATCTTGAAGATGAGCCTATTAAATCTACTACTCATTTGATGGGATGTAACCCATATTGACCATTTAAGTGAGAAGAACTCCAAGTAATAGAAAATTCTGAAGAAGTTGAATATCCATCTGACAATTTTATATGAAAATATCACCCTTCTGGATTGATATATTTCATTTATATTTCTAATAATAAATTTGACAGCATATAACAATATATTAGGAAACGTAGTGGAAGTATTTTAGCAAGAATTGGTCAAATTAATGATCAGAATGTATATCTTTGGTCATGTGAGAATGATAAATATCAATTTGAGTATCTATATTCATTGATAGCTATGAAATTTGAATGGTGTTCCTTATGTTATCATACCACTGAGAGATGCTATAGATATATTTTTGAGAATCTGTTAGGTAAGAAATTTCTATCTTGTAAATCATCATTTTTGAATAGAATGCAATTAGACAGGTATAACAAAGAGTTAAAATTAGTATTTGAATTTAATGGGGCTCAACATTATTCTCAGAATTCAATATTCCATAAGCGAGGCAAGATAGACTTAGATGAGCAAAGGAAATGTGATAAGAAAAAGCGAGAAATATGCAAAAGAGAAGATATAGATCTTATCAAAATTGACTTTGATGCTAATTTATTGTCATATATAAAAAGCAAATTACAGAGGAAGGGTTATTTAACACACAAAGAATAAACTTATAAGATCATTATTTTTCAATATAATAATTTAGTATTACTTATCTTGATCAATATGGAAATAGAAAAGCTTGACCCTGTTAAAAGGATGATTTTGAATATTGATGAATACAAAAATATAGAGAGATTTAATGGTCTTAATAATACACCTCAATGGTCTTTCAATTTATTAGTCAGTGGACAAACTAGATCAGGAAAAACTAATGAAGTTATCAATCTTTTACTTGGAAATAAAATGTATTGATTGTTTAGTGGGAAAAAAGGTGGAATAAGATATATTAAGAATGATGATTTGATTTTGATCAGTCATCAAATTAATGAACCCAAGTATAAACATCTTTAAGATTGTTATAAAATAATTGCAAATAGTTCCAAACTATATTGTGAAGATATTATATTCCAAGCAATAAAACCCAATAAAATGTCAAAGATTGATAACTTTTCTCCTGAGAGAGGAACAGTAGTTATATTCGAAGATGTATATACCAAATCTAAAAAAATATAAGATAAAATAGCATGTTATTTTACTGAGAGAAAGCACAAAAATATTAGTTTGATATATATGACACAGAGCTTCTTTGACTGTCCTAAACTAATAAGAAAAAATCTTGATTACATTGTTCTCTTTAATGACAGTGGGATATATGATGAACTAGTTAACATTACCCGATGATATACAAAAAAATGATGCAATATTGTTGATATACTTGATAAAAATCTACAAGATAGAGAATTTATTGTTATTGATTTAACTAGAGCAAAAGAAGACTCTCTATATATAAGAAAAGATTGGGATCAAGTGATCGATCTTTCTAATAAGTAGGCTTGAAGAGTCATTACTTCATAATAAAGCGTGACTTCAGATATTCTAGAAATTTTTCTGCCTCTTGCAATTCTATCTACTTTTCTTCAATCTCAGATCGTAATTTCTTATTAGCTTTAACTCACTCTTCATGCTCCATAGTAATTTCTCACATAAATTTATCAAAAGTTTTTATATTATGTTCCAGTAATTACTGACATAAAATATTGATCTCTTTCTTAACCAGACAATTGATTTCCTCCTCATTTACAAAGCAAGGGCATTTATGTATCTGATCATATGTACAAATTGGGATAGTATCTTGAATTTGGGATTCTTGATTAACCATATCTATATATGTCTTGACACTAACTTTGCTATTATATATGTGTAATAAATTTTCAAGTGGTGAAGGACTTTGATGTTAATGTTTTTTTTCTTATTATAAACTATAATTTCATGTTGCAAAAAATCTTCAATACTTGGATCTATACCACATGCTTCTAATTCTGTCAGTGGATTATGCTTTCTCATAGTTAAGCATCTCCATACTTCTTCCACTAGTGAGGGAGATAGTTGCTATACCAGATCTGTATATGCTTGATTGAATCTTATTTATATACACTGAGTTAAAAATTCTGTCAAATTCTATAGAATTCAGAAAAAAAAAGTAAATTGGTTAATAATTTAATTATTAATCACATATTGACCATACTCAATTATTATATAATCATTAATATAATGATAACAAACAAAAAAATCACTATTAATCATCACGAAATAACAGTGAATAAAAGTCTAAAGTACTAGCTCTCAAGGAATACCTTAGGTGGTTTTATTTTAAATAGTTATATATATGATAAGTTACATAATTAATAAATCAAATAAATAGATGTGTATAGATATTAGATAAGTTGTGCATTGTTAATTTGTCGCATTTCTTCTCGAACAGCCCATAAGAGTTTGTAATGCTCAACTAACTGTGTAGCACACATGCCTTCAGGTTTGTAGAAGATCTCTAGCCATTTTTGTTGTATAACTTTTACAGCTCGAATCTTTTTACCAACTTCTCTTGCACATTCGAGCTTTTTAATAGCATTCTGCATCCATAATTCATATCGACGAATTGTTTCTTTTTTGAAATACGAGTTAGCTTCAGATTTACTTTTAAGTTCCATATAGTCTTTATGACTAATATTGCAATAAGCATTTCTAGTACAATTTGTACTCCAATGCTCATCCATGAAATGAGAAAACCAATACTCATAACCACTTCCTATTTTAGAATAAACAAGCTTATTACATGAATAACATATTGCTATATTTATATCTACAGAATGGCCAAGATCACCTTCATATAAATATTTCATTTTCCTGGTGATAAGATATTGCTTTTTGTCATCAGTCAAATGATTATTATTCTTATAATTCGTCAACTGATCCCAAATTCGTTTCATCCAATCAGATGGAGTTTCACCCTTATGAATTACTGGGAATTGACAATTATCTCTCCATTCGGTATCGCTCAAATCTGGGCATTTATCTGTATAGACCATATTTAACGATTAAGTGATTTAACGTATTATATATAATGTTTTTGGAGATTATGTGATTTATATCGTATTTAGGGATTTAGACCTATTAGATTTGGTTTGATATTGATAGTTAAAACCAGATTCATTTTTTGTGTAGAATTTGAATAAAAATTTATCTATATAAAACTTTGCTAATTCTCAATGCGTTTAAAAATAACCTTAAATCATGCTTGTAATATTGCTCAAGCTCATAATGGCTTATGCCTTTCAGATATATATTAATATTTCCTCACCATTAAGATGGAAATGCAATCAAGGCCATGAATGGAATGCTCCACTTAATAGAATAAAAAATCAAAATCATTGGTGTCCTGTTTGTGCAGGTCGGCATCCTTTTCATTATGGAATTGCTAAAAAGATTGCTATAGATAAAGGTGGATTGTGTCTTTCCACCCAATGTATAGCTACTAAAGAATTATTACAGTGGAGATGTTCCAGAGGTCATGAATGGTCAGCAACCTACAATAATGTTATACATAATAAAAATTGGTGCATAAAATGTTCGCATAGAAAGCCTTGTACTCTTGAAGATGCTATAAAAGTCGCACATGCTAGAAATGGAAAATGTCTTTCTGAAAAATTTATTAATGGTAAGTCACTATTATTATGGCGCTGTGCTGTAAATCATGAATGGAATGCTAGTCTCGATAGTGTAAAAAATAAAAACACATGGTGTCCACATTGTGTAGGAGGTAGACCCCGATATACCCTTGAAGATGCTAAAAAAATTGCGCATGATAGAAATGGGAAATGTCTTTCTGAAAAATATATTAATAGCATGACAGCTTTATTGTGGCGTTGTTCTAAAGGGCATGAATGGAATGCAACATTTAATAACATTAAAAATGCAAATTCATGGTGTCCCCATTGTTCTGGACGATATGCTTGTAATATTGATTAAGCCAAGCAAATTGCATTTAGCCGGAATGGTGAGTGTCTCTCTACCTTATATTTTAATAACTATTCAGATCTATTATGGAAATGTGTTAAAGGACATATATGGTATGCAACATTTAATACTATTAAAGATCAAAATACCTGGTGTCCAATTTGTCGAAATAAATATGAAAATTTATGTCATGAAATAGTTTCTAAATATCTTGGACCGCCATCTAAGATACGTCGTCCCAATTTCTTAAAAACACCAGAACATTCCATAGGTTTAGAACTTGATATATTTTATCCTGAATATGGTTTTGCAATTGAAGTACAAGGAGTGCAACATGAAAAATATGTCGAATTCTTTCATAATGGTGATCCCAATAATTTTATTAAACAGCAAGAGCGAGATCAACTCAAGAAAGAATTGTGCGAAGAAAACTGGATTGTTTTAAGGTATGTTTGGTACTACGAAGACCCATATATAGTTATTCCAGAGCATCTTCGAGAATTGGGTCTTATTGAGTAAACTTAAAACTTTAAATACCCTATATTTGTTACCCACGTGTAAAACGAAGTGAATCATATGTACGTTATTTTTTTGTAACGTTCAAGCAATAGGATGCATTAAGGCAAAATGTAGCACACGATAAAAAAAAATCGTGCTTTTATTAATTTTATAGGCATACATGTTAATTTTCTAAAGATGCGAATACAAATCCATGACCTATTCATAGATGACATGCGTAGCATAATTAATCCGCACTAACTCGATGATTTTTCTTTACCACTGTTTGTATTATCATTCGTCGTCACATTTTGTATTGTAGTACCAGGTTATTCATTCCGCAGAAGAAATTGGCGAATTTTAGTTAATGCTCCCAGCACTTCTCGTCTCCCATCTGGTTCTACTAAATCCAGACCTTCCTGCTTTCCATTCTCCCCTGGCCATCTTTTAACGTTAACTGATGCCTCTTTGGGTAGACCACGATCAAATTCGGACCAATATTCTGCAGGGATTACTGCTTTGTAAAATGTCACGTACGTTGAGATGACGCGCATAGCAAATATGGTTTGATTAATAAATTCCTCTTTACTAGTGGCACGTATGTTCTCATTTCCGCAGGCAACAATCTGTACGGCAATTTGTGTTTCCCCGAAACCGCTTGGTTTCCAAACATTTTTGATATGTTTGTCCTGTTAAAAGGTTTTTTGATATCAATACGGTTTATTAAACAATAAGAAGATCAAATACTAAACATTCTGACCTCTATAGCCACCATACTTAATTTTCGATTAGCAATCACAAATTCGGGGTCTGCTGAAACATATTGGTTTTCTTTAATAACTAGTCTACATAGCGGATGATTTCTGGGTTTTGATAGATACAAACTTTTAGCAAAATTAAGCACCTCACAAACAGTGTTTTCCTACAATTACTTACATTAACTTCAAGGGCCAGTCATTCAAGTCGACGATACGAAGCAGATCGTCCACCAATGTGTCAGTTTTAGACTCCATTGTGCCTGTGGCCACTTTTTCATTCATCACAACATCATGCATTTTATCAAGGAACGTTTTGACTCGATTATTTGAAACCTGATCAAGCTTATCAACGTTAAAATTTGCGCTAGAGACATCATCGCGGTTGATTTCGGGAAGAAGATATTCTTTCGGAACTGTGACTGTACGATATGTATATGTGAATTAATTGTCAGTTTTAATTAATGCAACGACAAAAAACATACCAGGATCCTCGGTGGCAGGGATAACATCCTCGAAAGAAGCTGGCTGGAAATTCACTCTCAATAGTTTAACTTCAGCTGGTGTGAAGCTTGATGCTAATTTGGCCGTAATCCTAGTCTTTGTGGAAAATAGTTTAGGAAATGTTGATCGAGGAAACCTCCCAACTTGACGGAATAGCGACATAAGAAGAGTATATGTCGGATAACCGATATTTTCGCGAAAAAAAGAAGCGTGGTAAGTAATCGCTGAAATCGGTAAACAACGATCACCCGATCAAGATAATGTATCGTTCTATATCTGGGATAATCGTTACATGATCTATTTCAGGTGCGGAATCTATTTCGGGTGTATTACAAGCGTACGTGAATCCACCACCAATCAAAGGAATTGATCTGCATCACCCACCCGAAGAGCTACTAGTGGAAGGAATGAGAATATCAGTGAAACAGTCACCACCGGTAATAATCGAGATAATGGAAATAATGTAAATGATGCGGGTGGAGATCCGGGCCATAACGCGAATGATGTAGGTGAAAATTTAGATAATGCGACATACTCATCTTCATCTGAGTTAGCAAATATGACCTCAGCCCTTAATATATCTGCATCACAAAATAACAGTGATTTAAGTATGCCCGATATAGAAGGAGGTAGTCAGCCACCCTCTTATATGGAATCTATAAATGAGGAAAGTTAAAAAGTAATAAATTTTACCCGAATGTTTGGTTATATTTTTTTGTTATATGAATAAAAATTCCGAGTTAATAAAAATCACATGCCTGAAAAATTGATTGCGTAACACAGATGTTTGATCAACATATATCACAGAATAAATTAGAATGTCATGGAACTTTTCATGCATGATGTAATCATATGACCTGATTGTTACCAAATCTGATTAACCAACTCATGTCATATGTATTTTCTTTGTGAAAAGTTTTTTCGCTGTGTATATTTACATAGTAAATATCCATGGTTTGTATCACTCCAGTTTTACATTTCCTAAATCCACTGTTCCCATATCTAAATGGAACAGAAATGAGCGGAGGAAATATTTTAAAAGGACAGTATATTTGTATTGTGATTATTTATCACTTCATTTTACTTGTGATATAACAAAGCTAATATCATTTTCAATAACCATACAAATATATCTACCAATTTGTATAATAACATTTACGAGTTCTTGACAACTGCTGAAGAACACCAAATTAATACTATGTCTATTATATATCTTGAAATGAAAGAAGACTGCTGGATTTCACAAAATGAATTAAGATCAATCATAGATTGAGTCATAGCTTCTGCTAGCAATATATACATGGATACTTCATCACGCCAATTAAGAATTTTATGAATTTTTCCACAGGTTAGTTATTTAGATGTATTATATTTTAGAATTATCTGTGTTAAATGATGATATTATGTGATCCACTCACAAAGATGAGTGCTGAATAAATAGCTAATTATTTTGGTTATTGCTTATGTTCACTCATCCTACTAGTCCGCTTGCTGATAGACACTTGCTTATAGTGAAGGAATGTTTAAACTATAGTCTGTTATGCAGGATATAGCATTCTATCAACCTGCTATGAGAAAAATCTATTGCCTCATCAGAAGGATGTTTAAGATATAAGTTATTATATTACTTTATAGTATTATACGAAGTTTCATCAACATGATAGCCACACAAAGATGTTAACTTTGCATATATACTGATAATATACATTATTTTAATGATGAAAATTTTTATATTTCTGAAAATTTAATGCATATTTTTTATAATAGTTTGATAATGCCTTTGAAGAAGTTTGCATCTTATACGATATAAGAGCAATTAAAACAAATAAGGAGAGCCCTCTCAGCTCTGATCAAATTGAAAAAAATACAACTGAGCTGGAGGAGAAACTCAAAAAAGATACCATACCTCTTGGTCAGTATCTATATTCAGCTATGAATACTTTATCTATTCAAAAATTGACTTGGAAAGATCCTCTAGCAAGCCAAATTATTAGTAATGACTCTAAACTCATAGAACAATTGCCAAAAAATCTAAAGAAGGCGTTTATGGTATGTTAATAGTAATATATATAAATCACTTTGCTAGTTTTTTTAACAACATATGCAACTATAATATTCTATTGATACTCTAATAAAAACCCACTCAATTGATGAAGTCCACTCTTATACCAAAGATTGAAGAAATATATGAGAAATTCATATCAAATTTCATTCATCATAGTTACCAGAATATGCCACCCAAAAAACTTATTCATAATGAAACTTGGAAAGAATCCAAGAAGAAAATATTAGACATTATAAAAGAACTTTTTTCCCTTCTCGAAGATATTTGGAATAATTCAATCTTTAGTTTTGAATTTGCAAAATCATTGAATAAAGGTACTTATCAATTGACAGTCATTTTATTATCAATACAGATGGTATTAAAAAATCTTCTTTTTAGATTGTCTTCATTTATCAGTACATCAGAATGACAAAGTATTGCTAGTATCAATAGAAAGAGTAAAGAACAGATGGAGAGGCAACCTGATATTATGTTTGTATTAAAATATTTAGAGGTTTTCTTTGAGCTTTTATATGTAGAATATTTATGATTATATTGCACTCAGCAGAAAAAGGAGGATAATAAGGTAAAGTTATGGTATGAGACAAATAATAGTATATATTATATTTGTAAAGTTCTTAAATCAGACAAAGATCAATTTGGAGTAGTTGGAGTGCAAGTAGTGGGAAATATGTTATATCTGAACATTCTTATCAGGGATAGAGCTAATATACATTGATATTACCATCTATAATCTGCTGAAATTCCTGTACAATTATCTGATACAAATGTCATAGCTAAATTTATAGAAACCCTTTTACGTTTATATAATATATTAATTATAAATGTATCCCTGATATATCATGCATCTATCTTCACATCGCAAAGGCAAATGGAAGATAGTACTACAGTTTCCACTTCATGAGATGATAACTAGACTTCATTATATGTATTTTTTATAACTTGTATTTATCCTAATAAAGATGGCCCTGGTGACTAGATTATTATATACTTTGTGTGATATATGTGATTAGGCATTTGCCAGCCTCTGGTTAAATTTTTCAGATAATCATTACACATTATTTATCAGGTACATGATCAAGTATAAAGTCTGTCACATGTTAAAAAATTAAATCATATGCTTGTAATACATTCTGAAATAGATTTAACACCCAAAATAGATTATATAATGATTCCAGATATAAAATGACACATTATCAATAAACTAACTATCTGTCTATTACTCTCGGTTATGTATATTTCATGAGATATGGAGTGTCATTTCTTCAAAATACTTCTATACTGATCCCAATTGGTTAATAATTTCTGATTTTTTAATTATTTTGATTGGATGGATGAATAATAGGAGATTGGTGGTATATGATTGCACATGATATCACTTTCTTGATGCTCATTGTAATGTGATATAGTGAAATAAATTAAATATATTTTTATTATATATCATAGAAACAAAAAATGTCTTATAAATTACGTGATCAGATTTCCAAGTATATTAATTTCAGTTCTAAAGAAATCTGTCTCCCAATTACAAATGAAGATAAATAGCTTTTTTGGAAATTAATAACAGATCAGGAGGAGATGATTAATGTTATAATGAATGAGTATCAATTTTTACTTCATCATGGACATAACTATAAGGGTGGAAAATTAATATATATAATGTAAGTATATATATGTACTGAAAAAAATGCTGAGAAAGTATTGATAGAGATACCTCTATTGAAAATATTATCTAGAAAAGTTTTAGCTCATATCAAAAAAAGATTCAAAGATCTTTCACTCACATCAGTTGTTATAGTTGATTAGATAGATCACTACTCTGGAATGTGGATATAGTTGGTATGCTTATTTTTACAATATTTTTGGATAGGAGAAATAACCTTTTTCTTTTTAACATAAACATGATTCTTTCAGGGGTTTATCTGATCGAGATCATACCAGTCTGAATCCATGGATTCTGAATTAGAGCTGGATGATTTAGAAAGATCTGTCTTAGATTTTATTCATAGTAGCTTTGCTTTATTTATACAACTTAATTCATACTCAATAATACAAAGTTTTTTAAAAATTCCATACTCTATATCATTTTCTATAGAATGAACTGACTTCCAAATATTATTGAGGTGTGTTTTTATTGAAAGCTTTCCACTCCCATCACTTAAATCTATTTTAGGATATTTCTTAATCTTACCAGCTCCGCTATTTTTGGAAATATCATCATTTAATCTTCTGGGTGTTAGAGGTGCAGAAGATATATTGTAAAATATTCTGTAATAACTCTTTTGGTATTTAATATCTTGAGCACCTGAGAGAATTTTGTTGATTATATTTATAACCTCCTCTTGAGCTAGACCAGGTTTAGATTCTGTTGATTTAGGGATAAAGTCCTATTGCTCTGCAATAGATAAGTTATTTTTAGTGGAGCTGGCTTTATAGCTTGAAGAGTCACCTGTAGATCTGCTATCTTCTTCGATTAATGGGATACTTATACCATCTATCTCAATTTTAGCATAGTGCTTACAATTTTCCAGAGAAAATCCAAAGCTAATTTTTGTTTTATGCATCTATAACCAATCTCATCCTAGCACCAAATCAAATAATGGATTTTTGCAAATTCAAAAATCTATTACTTCAGTGCTATCTAAGCTTCGTCACTTTCCTTTATACCAAAATTGCAAATCTAAGCATTTTATTTCTTTATCTATCAAATCATCACCAGATATACCTTCTAACCCATAATCTTCTTCAAGCTTATTATACAAGCACTTGCTAATAGTATTAAACTTTGACAACATATCAATTAATACTTTTACTAGGATTTTTTCTTCGATAATAATATCAACGAACATATTAAGTATATTTAATAATGTATATTACCACGAAAAAATAATCTGGTAAATAATTAACCATTCTCCACTGCTAAATAAAATTATTTGTAACTCATGTTAGAGGATTCTCTCTGAGATGATTAATAATTGCAGAAATAAGATCTGTTTTATCTGATATATGACTCAAATAGTAGTCTCTAAAGGCCCTAATTATAGCTATTCCATTTCATTGACTAGTAAAGATTGGAATAAGTAGAGGTAAATCAGAAATGGAGAATTCATCATTGGAATAATCTGGAATAAGTGGAGGTAGATCAGAATCTGAGAATTCATCATCAGAATAAACTGGGTATTTAATTTTAATTTTTGAATTAAGTTTCTTTATCACTTTTTTACTAATCCCTTTACATCCCTTCAAACTAAGATATTTTAAATTAGTACAATTGCGGGCTATTTTCTTGATAGCTTTATTATTAATCAAGCAATCACCAAGCTCAAGATATCTAAGTTTTTGGTACAAGCGAGTAATTTCAGTAATACATCAATTAGTGAGATATATACATGAATTAAGACTTAAGTGTATTAATTTCAGACAAAATTTTGCAATTTCTATAATTAGTATATTAGTAAAACCATAATTTCAATTAAGAATAAGAAAGCGTATATCTGGATATGAATGCAGAATTGCACTGATCAAAGCATCTGAGATTTTTAAACCTTCCAAACTAAGATATAATATCTTTGAACAATAGAGTGACTTTATCTTTTCACATATAACTCTTT